CAAAAAAAAAAAAAAAGAACAATCAGAACATTCCACGGGAAGCTGCTTTCGCTTCCACTCGTGGCGGGGATGCGGGATCTTCCCCTGTGCCCCGGAAAACAAAGACAGACAGACCCCACACCAGACGCTGTTCCCCAGCTGCATCCCCCGTCCGTCTTCAGGTCGGAGGGTGTTTGCTCAGCTACTGCGTGTTGCAGGGGAAAGGTGGCCCCTGCCCGCCCCCCCCGTGGCTTCAGCACCATCCTACCCAGGCGTTTCGGAAGCTCAAACTCGACGTCAGTCAGCGCAGCCCAGCGACCCCTTTGCGCTGCGGGGGCTGGCACCGTCACCCGACCACCCAACCGGCACCGGCCCGCGCTTACACGGCCAAACCTCATTCCAAACAGTGCTTGTTCATAGGCAGAGACTTTTATTGGCCTCGGGGAAAGCTAACTGATGATCCTGCTGATGGCCTGTAGGGAAGGGAACTCCTCGTCCTCGATATGCAAAGCTTTGTGGGTGACAACGTCCCGCGGAGTCAGCACCTGCCTACACGTTGGGCAGATCCAGCAGTCGAGCTCGGAGTTGGAGTCCGTCTGCCACGCGTTCTTTTTGTTCTTTCTGGGTTTGTTTGAGCTTTGCTTCTCTTTGTTTCTGAAATCGTTGTGTGCCGAGAGCAGTTCCTGTTGCTTTACCGTGTCCGGCAACAACACCAAGAGCTCGTTAAAGATCTTCCTGAAGTCATCGCCGAGCAGTTCTCGGCAACTTTTGTAATACTGCGCCGCGGAAATCAGGCCCTTGGGGGAAAGAGGAATTGGAATCGTTAGCAGGGGGAGAGAATAAGGCAATCCCGCTGGGATTCCCTTTCTCCCAGGGAGGAAGGTGTCGGGAATCCGAAGCGTCTTGCCCACTCACCTGTCTGAACTGCCCAGAATGGGTCTTAAATTTATTGAACTTGGACTCATCGCTTTGCAGAAACTCCTTAATAGACTGTATGAGCTGAATGTTCCTCTGCTGGAAGTTTTCAGGGATCAAGTACGATCCGTGACAGGGTTTTGGCCTGCATTGGGGAAGACCAAAAGCAGCTCTGACGTTGCCTCCCGTCACACAGAGGCACAGCAGGATACGTGTCGTAGGGCTGTTCCCCCATTCCCCACCCAGCTACGCCGCAGTCACCGTAAGCGGCACGTGGGGAGGGCGGAACGCGGCCCGAGGGATGACTGCGTGGCGTTCCGCCTCCGCCCTGACGGGACGCGCGAAGCGCGAGTTGAACGTCGCCCTGGCCAACCGTTTTGCAAGTTGGTTCGCTCAGAAGACGCCAGCAAAGACTGCGGCCCGAAGAAAACCAGATGAATACAGATGTGCCCCTCCCCTTGTCCCCCAGACTCATCCCTCCGGCCCCGCGGGGGACAGACCAGCTGCTGGCAGGGTGACTGCCGGCGTTTCGAGGTCACCAGGACAGACGGCGCTTCCGCACCTTGCTTCTGGGTGCTCCGAGCCAACTCTCAGCCCCCATCTGGAAGAGTCCCCCCCGAGCATTCCCTGAATCCCCTGTGACACAACCGAGCTGCCACGCGTAAAGCGACTCTGACTTACTCTTTCAGAGATGTAGTGACAGGTTCAGGGACATTGGTGGATGGAATAACGGTAAAGCCTGGAGGGGGTTTACTAACAGGCACCGACAGTCCCGGAGGCGGAGGAGGATTCTTTAATAGCACCACAGTGTTAAAGCCTAAATGAAAGCGGAGAACGGGCAGGAAGTTAGAGACATATCCGCAGCGCTCACGGACCACCGTCGACAACACCAGCGGTCTCCAGAAGCACTAGGACACAAGAGTCAGCGGTGCAGGCATCACGATACTGGAAAAAAAGCTAAAAATTAGAGAGGGAAATCTGTTGCCTCAGCAGTCAGGTCAGGAAGCCCTTCACAGTGGCTGATGCTACTCTGCAAAGAAAGTGCTTTAGCTATTAATTCACTTCTTCAATAGAATATAATTTTATAAACCCAAACAAACACTCAACCCATACCAAAAACCGCTTTTATGTTATTAAAAAGAATCGAAACCGTCCCAGAAGTCAGGCCAGCACCAGGCATTGCATGCAGTACCCTACCCCACCTCAGTGTCTGCAGAGCAGCACAGAACGGCCTCCCGCCACGATTCTACTGTCACTAGAACTGCTGCAAGTCACGTTTGTTGCTATCTGACTCCAGTTCTATGAGATTACAGCACCACTAAAAGCCAGGGCATTAGATCTCTGCGAAGGCAGAACAAAAGCAACCCAGCAGCTGCCCAGAACCAGCAGGCACAGGTCACAGCTAAAGCGAGATTCCCTTTGCCCACAGCAGCTTCCGAACTAGATCTCAAAGCACAAATCCAGAGGAGGCCACGGGGATGCTCCGAGGGCTGGAGCCCCTCTGACATGGGGACAGGCTGGGAGAGTTGGGGGGTTCAGCCTGGAGAAGGGAAGGCTCTGGGGAGACCTTAGAGCCCCTTCCAGTGCCTTGGGTGCTACAAGAAAGCTGGGGGGGGGCTTTTCCCAAGGGCAGAGAGTGACAGGACAAGGGGTAACGGGTATAAATGGAAAGAGGGAGATAGGGATGGGACATCAGGAAGGAATTCTTCCCGCAGAGGGTGGGGAGCACTGGGACAGGTTGCCCAGAGAAGCTGTGGATGCCCCATGCCTGGGAGTGTCCAAGGCCAGGCTGGATGAGGCTTGGAGCAACCTGGTCTGGTGGAAGGTGTCCCTGCCCATGGCAGGGGGTGGGACTGGGTGGGCTTTAAGGTCCCTTCCCACTCAACCTATTCCACGTGATTCTCTGAAAAGCACAGACACAGGTCAGACATGACTCATCAGAAAAGCAGCGACAGGTAAAGACACTGGGTGAGCCACCCCCAAGGAGCAGACACCTGCAGCTGCACGGAGCCCGGCATCCCAACATTGTCACCGCTCCAACCTTGTTTCAGAGGACACGCAAGCCCATCCCTGCCTTTTTAACCTTCAGGGGTGAGCCTTGCATGTACTGACAGAGCTGCCCTTCACGTGAGAGCCAGAAGGAGCAGCTGATACATCTCACCCATGTGACACATTTCTCTGAGCTACACCCACCCAAAGCTGGCCGTGCCCTGCAGCGCTTACCTGGTGGCGGGGGCATTCTAGCTGATCCTGAGCTCCCAAGAGCTGGGAAGTCTTCCTGAGGTAAAGGGCATTTGGTAGTCACTGTGGGCTTTTTAAGGCCGGGGGGCTCTTTGGGCGTACTACAGATCGCTAACGATTTTTCCGAATGACCGTTCATGACGGCTGCGGATCTGTCGGGAGCGTGAAGAGCAGCGGCCGCGGTTGATGTCCGCTCCGCTTCCGTCAGCTTTTCAGCACACGGCCTGGGAAACGAGGCCTCCTGCGAGAGGTGCGGGGATGACGGTCTCTGCTTCTCAACCCCCATCTTCTTTTTCTTGCTCACTTTCATAAAAGTTTGTGAGGTAGAAGCTGCCAGCAAGGATGACACATCGAACATGGTCGGCGCGTTTCGGATCTCCTGGGTTGTCAAGCCACTGCCGCCGTCTTCATCGTCTGACTGAGAGAGTTTATTGCTCTTCTTGTTTCCTTTAGTGCTGTTCAGGGAGGATGGTTTCTTGGCTATCTGGTTTACACAGGGGTTGCTGATGGCTTTGACCACGCTTTTGCTGGAACCGTTGTTCCACGCAGATGTGATGTTAGTGACTGTCTTATTGTTGGGCTTCATTTTGGACACCAGAGCTGGAAAATCCTCCTCCTGGAAAGCTGTTCTCTTTGCAGTCGCTGTATACGTCAAAGACATCCCAGAAGAGACGGCGGGTGCTGCAGAGGATGACAAGCTTGGGAAATCTTCTTCCTTAAGCTTAACTGCTGCTAGCTGGGCAGAGCTGTAAGAAAAGCAAAGCACACCCCGTTATACCACCGCTGCGGGAACCCCATTACACCGCTGCTGTGGCACAACCCCGTTAGGCCGCTGCTGCGGCGGTGGCCCAACCCCGACTGGCACAACTGGCTCCATTTCCCCAAACCATCACTTGGAGCAGCACAACTGACCCAACTGTTACAGGATGCAAATGCGCTCAGGCTGATAAACTCTGCCTGGAAAGGGGCTCTCAACTGCGCTGCACGGGCCGTGCTGCGCTGTTGGTACTCTCAGTACGCTCTCGCCTCGACCAGCATGCTGTACGCACACGATCTGGCTGCCACAGCCTGCCAAGACGCTATTCTAATCAGCACCCATTTCAGGACACGATGGATTTTAAAACTCCGAGCATACAGCTCCTTCAAGACCAGCTATCATGTTGAAAATGGCTGGAATGGAGAATTTCCCTGGAATTACACCACGAACCGAAGCAACAACCAATGATGCTTCATGACCAGCACAGAACCAGCACGGAACCAGCTCGAGGCAGAAGGGGTTTGGGGCAGGGGAGAGGCATTTGCAGTTTAAGTGATTCGCAAAATGATTTTCTCCAGAGACGCAGGACACGAGTAAACGTCTAAATCTGCTTTCTCCCGCCTCAGCCCTGCACATACTCACCCTGGTAGAGGTCCCGCCGCCGACCCAATTGCTGGGAAGTCATCTTGGCTTAACACACCGTTCGCAGCTGCTTCTTTTGGAGTATCGGCAAAAAGAGCAAAAGAAATGTTTTCAACTAAAATCTGTTCATTTCAGAGTGGAAGCTGTCAACAAACACAACAGCAGCACTACCAAGTCGTAGTTTCAGCAGCTGATGATGTCATTAACATTCCGCAAGGACGGTTTAAATCCATGCATCACTATGTCCTTCAATTAACTGCATTCCCATTATGTCACCACGCACCGGCTGTAGCACCCGGGAAATCCATGACTCTTAAGGTGAGCAAAACACAGCTGATAAGGCCGTGGTGAGGGAACGCACACAGTGTCAGGAAGCTCAGCAGAGCCTCGGTGCTCCAATTGGGGCATGCGGACGCTTCACTCGGAAAGCTGCTCCTCCGAGGCGCCCATCCCACCTCTGCTGCACTGGTGCCCAAGCTGCTCGGCAGTTAGCTCCTGGGCAGCTGACTGACACTGAAACTAACTCTTTCCTAGCTCAGGTTTGCCTCAAAATCCAAATCCAGCGCTGCGGAGCGCAGCAATTCAGGGAGAGAGCCTGGCCTGTCACCCCAACTGAGCCGTTAACCAAACGGCTCTCGGTTCACAATGAAAACATATAATCCTTATGTTGGAATCCTGCTGTAGAAGCAATAAAAAAGGTGAAAATGGATTTGGAGTAACAGTAATATCAAGCCATCACTGCATCATATTTGTTTGCCCCAAACTGGGCCTGGTTCAAAACAATTCAAGGTTTGACCCCTCCACCAGCCTCTGACAACAATGCCTGGCGATTGTTCGCCAGGCCGACCTCCAGACCCACCACGCCTCCCTGCGGCTGCAGGAGGTGTTCACACTCACCTGCGGCATCAGTGGAAGGCTTTGGCACACGTTTGGAGCTGAGCGCTTCGGAATCCCTCAAGTCCTCCTTTCTACCTCTGCTGCTGCTGTCCTCTTTGTCTTCTACCCGTTTTTTCTCCTCCTGCCGTTTAGCTGCTACAGATGCCCTGACCGCTGCTGCAACGTCTCTGTCTTCTTCCTCCCTGCAGGACAAGACAGATTTTCTCGGTGAAACAGTAAGGATTACGGAGCATCTGTGTGTCACTGCCGCTCTCACCTCCCCGTGTCAGCTCTGATGACTATCCCCGATCCGAAAAGGCTGCAAGAAACCCACCACCCCAGGCCAGCCTGGCGCCGGCTGGCGAGGTAGGCAAGTTCCGCGTGTGGTAACAACAGCCCGGCCAGAAGAAACTGGGGTGAACTGGGAGAGACAGCAACAACGTCGCACGGGGACGCCCATCTCTCACGTTCATTTTCACACGCATGAAATCGCACTCGTAGGCCACAGCAATTCTTTGCAACGTGGTTTGTCACAACCTCCCACGCACGATCCACACGCGACACCGAGAGGTGAGCGTTCAGAGATGGACTAACCCTAACCCAGTGACATCACCAGTGATGAACCAGCTGACCATCCAGCAAGAAAAAGGAGATGTGCAGTATGGATCAAGTGCTCGGGTCTTGTGTGGATAAAGAGACATATCAAGGCAAAATTTTGCTTCAGTACTTAACCCTCTTCTCTTTCCAAAGCCCTCAGCCTGGCCACACGGCGATCTGTCAGTTCAATGAAAAGCGTCGTCCTTAGAACGGGGACTTTGTGATTACCCAGACCAGAGTCCACTAAACCTGCACAGACTTTGCCACTTACTGCAGAAAATCCTATTTAGAAAAGGTCGCATGAGAACGGTTGCTGGAATTAATTCAGGATTCAGAGTCTATTTAACCCTCAGTTGAAGATGACATTGTTTGTTTCCTGTGTCAGGTCCAGAGAGGTGAAACTCCACCCCCAGTAATCTCACTCTGACCAAGCCTGTAGTCAGCACGCAGGCTTAAACCGAAAGCCACTTCTAAGGATTCACTGTTTAAGCTCCCAAATCGTGGATCTGCTTCCTTTCTCCTGGCCCTCCAAAACATCCTAAGTAAAAAACACCACTAAACAGCCATCAAAATCCAGAAAACTAGCTACTCACCTCTTATACCTCCAGCTGCCTCTTCTGTTTTGCTGCTGACTTCCTCGTCCGCCCGATCTGCCCGACCTCCCTTGCCTGTTGTACCTGTCAACTTCTTCGTAGTCCTCTCCACCTATAACACCTGAACAGAGGGATGGTTCTCACTCTCAGTCAGTTCTCTAATCCGGGTGTCACAGCGTGCCCGAAAAAGGCAGAAATGTACTAATACACACAAACCTGCCCTGGTTTCTTTCTGATGCTTAAGTAGCCTATGTTACCCTGCTACATCAAAATATGTTTTCCAGCATATGGGTTTGATGTGTTGTAACCTCTGATGCGAGTTCTGAGTAATTCTGGTTTTCTGCAGAGAGATCTCTGCATAAGTTCGACACCAGAAAGGTTCCTACGTGTGTCATCTCGGCGCTCCTAAGCGGATACGTTACCTGGTCACACGCTCCATGTTCATGACCACTGGGCATTAATTAATAGAAGTCATTCACCTCATTCTCCTCCAATCTGTAAAGTCAGTAACTTTCCTAAGATTATCTATCATCATTAAATCCACACAGGGGGAAAAACTGTAAAACAGTGTGGGTAGGAAGAGACCTCTGGATGTCATCTGATCCATCCCCTCACTCAAAGCAAGGTCAACTTAAACGACATTAGGATGCCCAGGGCCCTGCCCGGTCAAGTTCAGGTTATCTTCAAGGACAACCTCCATGCCTCTTGGGGTCCCATGCCAGGGCTGCCCACCCCCTTTTTGAGGAATTTCTTCTTGGCTAGGAAGTGTCCTCCCGATGTTCTTGAAAACCCCCAAAGCAGCAAGGATGCATTCCGTGCACCTCCTCCCCCAGCCACTCACCCTCGTTCCTCCGCTGGTGCCTGGGAGCGTAGTTAAACTGGAGGTCTATCTGCCGGTTCTGCCTGGCCTCTGCCCTGTTCTTGCTGTGGCAGGCTGTTTTGTGTGCTTTGTAATCTATTTCTGTGCGGAAAGCGTGAGTAAACTGTTCCGTGCTGCACCGTCCCTCTTCGCACAGGAAGTGCTTCTCGCGGAAGTGTTCACGAAGGTACTCGTAATCGCTGGAAAGAGAGAAGAGGCTGAGCCTTCCCAACGTCTTTTACTGATGATACGTGGCTACTCCTACAAGTGGAGACAAGCCTAAGCGGTTGGTTCGGAGCCCCAGGCAAGCTTTCCAGCTGAAACCCCTTGTGCACCATTGAGAGTGACCTTCAGGCACCATCCCAGATGTTAAACCCAACCTGCTGCCTGGCACTTGCCACATCCAGCTGTACGTAAGGCACGCGTTTCCTGAGAGAGGATTTACTTCTGCCTGCTTTGCATACAAACTTTGGGGTAGCAGTTACACTAGAGAGCTGCAGACACCTGCTGTCATGCTGCAAAACCTAATTTCTAATGTTTAATGAAGACAATGTTAAAATGTGAACCAGACAGAAAGCGTCCCCCTGGCTACTGGTCTGAGGAACAAGAGACCGCAGCTAACCTGCTGTTCTTGCCCCCCCATCTTCGAGTACTACTCTCCCCCAAATTCCAAGTGGACCCAAGAAATTTTCCTCACGATTTAAGCTACAGAAAGAGGAGCGAACCCCGTGCACAAACCTGTAGTACTCCTGAGCACCATCAGAGTCACAGAAGTGACAGAAATAATGATCCCGCCTTAGGTGTTTCAGTAACTCGTCGTTATCCAAGTAACGCTCGTCGCAGAATTTGCACAGGGGGTGCCCGCGATGAGAGGTGTCGTCTGGATCTCCGTGGATCCGATGACGGGCGAGGTCCTTACGAGAATACCATTTCCGTTCGTAAGTAAAAACCTGAAGAAAGTAACAAATTTCAGTGCTACTTCTGGTGACAGAGAACAACGTGCAACTGGGCTGGGTCGTGCCCAGTTTGTTCCTTCGTAGAAGGGGAAGATTTGCTTCAGACGGGGGCAATTTGACAACCAACACCTAAAATTTTCAGTGAACAGGAAATAAAACGCAAGTGGGTAGATCCAAATTCAATCTGACTTGCATTTCATTCCGTCTGAACACTGGAAACAAATCTAATGCACCTTTTTCCCTTCCACAAGCTTTTCTGTGTACTAACACACACAACAAGCTTTAAACTATAACCCCTGGTGGGGAAAAAAATCCTAGATATTTATGAACATAGACTAATTTGCATATTTGGACCAAAACCACAACTCAGAACCACAAACGAGCAGCTGAGCAAGGCAACACCTCTTCATCTGAGCTCAAAGGACACAGCAGCCAAAAGAAGCATCTTGCCCTCCGTCCTTGACCACTCCCCCTGAACCAGCTCTAGGGAATGCACAGCCACAGGCACGAGAATCAAGCAGCACACTGAAAGCCAACCCCGCAAAAAGGAAAAGGTCTCGGCCTCGCTCAGTCAGCCTGTCCACTTCTGGATCCCGGCCCTTCCGGCGTGACACAGTTCAGTTGGCACTAACCAACCGCAGCAGCCAGGTAAAGGCATTTCTCCCACTCAACGCTGAATTGGTTGTAGAGAAAACGCGTGCACACGTACAAAACCACGCGTGATGAGCACTGAAAATAGGTGTTCGTGGACTAAATCCCTGCCTACAACACAAAGGAATGCTGACAAGTGTTGGACACCGAGGTCAGCAGCCCGAGGATTCATCTAACGGCCGCCCGGCATGCAATTCCGAGATACAAACCTCACCCTAGCTCCAGGGAAAGGAAGTTCTGACTTTCAGACTGCGGAAGAGCATCGCCCGACGGACAGAGCACCAGCCCTTCCAAGTGAACTTCAGGTGGGGTTAAAAAAAGAATGAAACGGGACGATGGTGGCGATGGTCAGACAAGTAGTTTTAAGGCTCAACCCTCATGACCTTTTTAGACAACAGACAACCCAGCTTTCCAGTAACTGTCTGATCTGTGGCAGCTTGTAAAATACATTTTAAACTGGCCCCGGGTCAGGGTCTACGTGTGCGCGTCAGCCACAGTGAACGTCAGCTGTCGGCGGCGGCGAGCTCCACTTTCCAATCCAGGCAACAAGATGCAGGAAATTTTATCTCAACAAATACACAATTATGACCTACATTTTGTTTGTGCTGGTTTTGGCTGCGATAGAATTGGTTTTTTTAACAGTGTGAGGCTGTGTTTGGGATCTGTGCTGGGAAGAATGCTGATAACACTGATGTTTTAGCTGTTGCCAGGAAATGCTTGTATTAAACCAAGGCTGTTTTCAGTTTCTCACACTGCCCCTGCTCTCCCAGCTTCTTCTCTACAAACCTGATCTGAGAAACAAATCCATCGCTCGGGGATGCATTCTGCCTTCTGAACTGGCATCAAATGTCTTCTTCAGTTTCAGTTTCAGCTTGTACAGTCATTACAGGTCTAAGTCTTCATAGAGACCAAATCTCCACAGTTAGAGTTGCAACAAAGTCTGCCCATGACCCAGGATTCACAGAGTTCACACAGAGTGGTCAGGGTTGGAAAGG